AAGAAAGAAAGAAATAATCAACTCAAAAAAATGATAACTAAATATATGTTAAGACACAAATGAGTCACTACACAAATATTAATTAATACCACATTTTATAGCATATTTATTTCCTAAAAGTCCTATTTTTTTATTTTCTGTGCTTGGTTGACACAATAATGCCTTTTTTGGAGCCATTTATTTTATGATCATTCAAAGTTCCGTTCTTTGCAACAACACCATTTTACGTTGAGAGGTTTGTATCAAAWAATGTTGATTATAAAACAAGAAATTCATCAAAAAAAGTTAAGTGATAAAACAGTTTGAGCGGTGATGTCTTTCTGCTTCTGTCATCAGCTGAAGCTGCTTTTTTCCACAAAAGAACTCCCTCCCTGGAATGTTAAATCAGTCAACACAGAGAAAAATAGAATGAAAAAAAAGAAGAATTAACAGGGGAATCTCAGTGAAGCCTGGCTAATAGGATCCCATGTTCTTAAGCACACAGGCGTAAATGTTGGGAAGCTCATAACATCTCTCTGAGCGCAAATGTCAAATATTCCTTCAACTTTTTTTTTGTAAACAAACACGCAGCAAATGATTCACGTGCTCCGCTTGCAAATAAACAAGCTGAGGGCTCCTCTGCTGGCTGACTGACATTTCTTTGCTTTGCTAATGATAACAGCCTCGACCTGAGATGGTGCTCTTCTTATTATGGATTTGCCTTCATGATTAAACCATGGGGAGTTTGTATTGTTTTGTTCCATACATGGCTTGTTTTATTTAAACAGCAGTTCTTGTGTTTTAGTCAAGAAAACCAAACTCTAAACATGAACTTTTTTAAAGTATTCACACTAAAGTCCACATTAATAAAATCTTAACAACAAGCCAAGAATGCAAGATCAGTTGGGATGCACCCTAACATGCATGTTTTGCAATCGCTTTTGTACGTATGAGCCTCGGTACCTCCAGTTGTAACGACCCGGTGTGTTCACACCAGAACCAGCCCGGAGAGCGCTCCCCAGCCATTTATTCTACTTTCTTTGCGGCTGAATGACCTGCCATTACACCAACATTAGTTTAAATATTAGGAGCCTGCAGGGGCTGGTTCATTCCATTTTTCAATTAGATCCGAATCAAGGACACGTAAGCCCCCGTGTATTGAACACGCTACATTCTGTCTGTG